CTTATTTAAACCAATGTAGTTAATTAAATTTATTATTTTAAGTTACCTTTTTTAAACAAACTCTTAATTAATGTAATTTAAATTAAATGTTATATAGTTACCTTTTTTAAGATAACTACAAAATAATAGGAATTTTATCTCTAAAACAGTTACATTTTTATTTTTAAAACTGTAAAACGTTATCTAAAAAAAAATATTTATATTCCCCAAATTTTTGTTCTTCCCCAACTCTTTTTCAAAATCATTACCTCTGCATGCCTATCAAAACTTTTCACCATAATTCGCACGCCTAATTTATTTTCACCAAATCTTTTCTCAAAATCACTTCTCTCTTAACAGTCTTCTTCAAGAATTCTCAAATATTTGCATTCAAATCTTCATTTTTAGCACTCAAATCTTCAACTCTTGCGATAAACAAATTGTACAATGTCGAAAAGAGGCAACGAAACCCCGAGAAAAAGTAGAAGATTGAATGAAGAAGCAAGCTCAAACGATTTTCATGCTCCATCTTTCAAAATTTTATCACAAACACAATCTCAACCTTCATCTGTTAAAGTTAAATCTAGATCAGGGAAATCAACAATAGAAAAAAAAACATCCAAAGGTGTAACGACCCGTTTAGTCGTTTTGAGCAACAGACTTCAATTCTGGAAAAACTGGCAGAAGCGACGGACCCCACGACGGACCGTCATGGGCACGACGGACCGTCACAGGGTCTCGTTTCAAAACACTTAGAAATTCTGAAATTTGGTACTGAAATCGACTCTCTGAACTCTGCGACGGACACGCAGACCGTCGCAGGGTCTCGTTTCAAAACACTTAGAAATTCTAAAATTTGGTACTGAAATCGACTCTCTGAACTTTGTGACGGAATGGCAGGACGGACCGTCACAGGTGTGACGGACCGTCACAGACCCTTGGTGGAAATATTGGGTCTCTGAACCTTGCGACGACCTGCAGGACGGACCGTCGCAGGCACGACGGTCCGTCACAGGTTGCGCAAATCCCAGGCAGAGTCGGATTTCTGGTGAAGTTTTAAAGGACGTTTTTGGACTATTCTTTCCTTAATTATAGATTTCGTGGGTTTATATTAATAACTCAAATTCTTGGGAGTTAAAAGAGGTAACCCTAAGTTAATTTGTGGGGTATTATTGCCATCTTTTATTCTTAATTATATACTAATTAGGGTAAAAGAAAGAGGGTTTGAATAAGAAAATAGAAAGAAAAAGAAAGAGAACGAGTAGAGAGAAGCGATCGAGAAGAAGAGGAAAACACCAAGCTTTGAGGATTAACTTGCTTGATTTCAATTCTTCGGTGGAGGTAGGTTATGGTTTTCATGCTTTCATAGTAAACTCTTAATAGAGAATGATATGTATTGGTAGTATTGTAAACCCTACTATATGCTTAATTGTATGTTTGCATGAATATGATTATGTGATTGTGATAAGATAAGCATGATGAAAATATTGAATCCCAAATCTTGAAAAGAAACTTTAATATACATTATTAATGATGATGCCTTGGTATAGAAGAAGGCTTGATGAATTAAAGTAATGGGATTGATGATGCCTTGGTATAGAAGAAGGCTTGATGAATTAAAGTAATGGGATTGAGGATGCCTTGGTATAGAGAAGGCTTGATGATTTACAGAATGATATTAGTGGATCGGAGTGTCACGTACCGACACATGTAGGGGATCGGGTGTCACGAACCGACACGTAGAATTAGGGGATCGGGTTTCACGAACCGACACGTAGAATTAGGGGATCGGGTGTCACGAACCGACACGTAGAATTAGGGGATCGGGTGTCACGAACCGACACGTAGATTTAGGGGATCGGGTGTCACGAACCGACACGTAGATTTAGGGGATCGGGTGTCACGAACCGACACGTAGATTTAGGGGATCGGAGTGTCACGAACCGACACAAGAGGAATAATGAATATGAGGGATCGGAGTGTCACGTACCGACACAAGAGGAATAATGAATATGATGGAGCGGAGTGTCACGTACCGACACAAGAGAAATAAAGATAATGAATCTTGAAAGATGTTAATATACTCAATCTAACGAACATGATTCCCAAATGAGTATGGTATTGGGGCTTGAGTCCTCATGTGTGAACTTGACGGTAATTGTTAATGATATAGTGCTTGTTGTTGCTACATGTTGAGTATCATAGTTGATTTTATGATATTACTTGATATATACTGTTTTCTATTTTGAGTTGGCCGATGATATCTACTCAGTACCCGTGCTTTGTACTGACCCCTACTTTTATTGTTTTCTTCTTGTTTAATTGTGGAATGCAGCAAACGTGCCATCATCTTCGACTCAACAGTAATTCAAGCCAGTCTTCGTCACACCGGATCTTCAGGGTGAGCTAACGCTTCTAGCTTGGACTGGATCTCCTCCTTCATGTCTTGATGCCTTGAACCTTCGGCACGGACTAGCTTCTTATGTATTTTTAGCTTTTAGAATACTCTTAGTTTAGTCATTTGATTGTAGATGTTCTTGTGGTGATGACTTCCAGATTCTGGGGATAATGATAAGTTTTTGAGTAATAGATGTTGAATATTGATAGTTATTGAATTGGTTTTTTTTATTAATGAGTTTAAGTCTTCCGCATTATTTTCTGTTGTTATTACATTGAAATGTTAAGGTTTAGATTTGTTGGTTCGCTCACATAGGAGGGTAAGTGTGGGTGCCAGTCGTGGCCCCGGTTTGGGTCGTGACAAAAGGAAAACGAGAAGAAGAGAAAGGGGAAAGAAAAGAAAAATGTAGATGAATCTGAGAAAAGGACGAAAGAAAGAGAAAATAAGAGGAAAGGAAAAGAAATCGAGGAATCATCAGATTCTGAATCTGATTTTGTGGAAGAGTTGATAAAATCAAAATCCAAAAAACCAAAAGCATCTGAAATCGATACTTCACATTTACAAGAAGAAGAAGAAACAGTTAAACCCAAAAAAAGTTCAAAGGTTAGTAAAAGTTAATTTTTTTAAAAATTTTTATGTTCTGTTATTTTTATTTTCAGTTATTTGGGTATAAAATAGTTAAAATATAAATTTTGTGTAAATAAATAATGTATGAATTGTGTATGATTCATTGTATGAAATTACAGATCTCTTCATATTACAATATCAATTGCTGAAACATGTATTTTTTTTATGTATGATTCACTGTATGAATTGTGTATGATTCACGGTATATATAAAATGTGCATGAATTGTGTATAAATTTTTTTGTATCAAGTTTTTTGATACTGTTGAATAGTAATATCCATAATTAGTTATACTTTATGTTTTGATTTGTATATTTTGGTGTTGAATATATTGTGTATGAAAGAATGTTGTAAGTTTGTTTGAAATGTGTATGATTATATTGTATTATGTTTTGTATACTATGTGTATGAATTATGTATTTTTTAATATTATGTTGTAAGTTTGTTTGAATTGTGTATGATTTACTGCATTATGTTTTGTATACTATGTGTATGAATTATGTATTTTTCAATATTATGTTGTAAGTTTGTTTGAATTGTGTATGATTCACTGTATTAGTTTTGTATTACATGTGTATGATTAATTTATTTAATTTTTACAATTTTTTAGGAGAAGAAGACACAAACACATTTGTCTTTATGTATTAACATAAATGTGTTTGCGGATTTGTTGACCTGTTTACGTCAAGATAAGTTTCAACAATTCCTAGATGAAACACCTTTTGGATTTTTTTATAATTTGCATCACATTAAAATCCAATGTCAATTGTTGAGACACTTATTTATAATGGGGAATGAAAATGTTAGGGATGACTTTGGCATTATGGAAAATCAAAGAATGATGAAGGCGCAATCACTGAAAGTGAAGTTACAGGAACAATTGCTAGCAAGAAGGTTGGACCTCGAACTCATAAAGAACAAGTTATGGACACCACCAATTATCCTACTCCAAAATTCCATATCAGGAAGTAGAAATCTTCATGGCACAATGTACATTTATTTGAATGACTTGTTTTTTTTTAACTTATGAACAATTTATGTATTTTTCCAGTTTTTTTATTATGACTACTCTGATGGTTTTATATAAATTACTACTGATTATTACTAAATGTGTCTCACTTTAACGTATATGAATACTGTATGAATCATGTATGAAAATCATATGAATTATGAATGTCATATTAAAATTTGATATATAGTACATAGTAATGTTAAATTATACCATAAATTTGTTTTGCATGAATACTATACACTTTCAAATACAAACAGTAAGGGATATTAATTATATTACTGGTATGAATACTGTATGAACACTATATGAATTATATCATACAATTATACATTAATAAATGTGTATCACCATCTTGCATACATTATTCATACCAGTAATATACATACAATTTGTTTCTGTTTGTATTTTTATTATGACTACTGATGGTTTTATATAAATTATTACTAATTATTTTTAAATGTGTCTCACTTTAACATATATGAACATTGTATGAATCATGTATGAAAATCATATGAATTATGAATGTCATATTAAAATTTGATATATAGTACATAGTAATGTTAAATTATTCCATAAATTTGTTTTGCATGAATACTATACACTTTCAAATACAAACAGAAACAAATATTAATTATATTACTGGTATGAATACTGTATGAAAAATGTATGAATTATGACAAATTATAAAATATATTTTTCACAATACAAACAGAAACAAATTGTATGTATGTTACTGGTATGAACAATGTATGAAAACTGTATGAATTATAACATATTATAATTTAATATGTATAACATAAACATACATTATTTTTTTATATGCAAGTATTGAATTTGTATAAATGTATAAATTTTGTATGTAGCCACCATTATGAATGCAATAACTGAATAAATGTTATATGATTATATGAATTATTAATGTTAACATATGTCAATATATGAACAGTTGTATATACGATGTATGACATTTGTATGAAAAGTAATATTATTCAATAAAAAACATTTTATAACAATGTAATGCCTCAAAAACACAGATTTAACATTACGACATCATTGTTTTTGTACAGGATAATTTGAACAAGTCTTCCTATTGTGTCCAACCTGATGGCATCTACTGCATGTTCTTTTTGTCTTCTTGAATTTCACATCTGCGAACCCCTTCCGCCGTTCAAGTTTGGGTCTTTCTACTGCTCTTTTTGGACCAGGCGGCATTAATTTAGGATATGAAATATAACTTCGTATATCCCATGTACGCTCGACAGGAATGGCATAAGCATCTTTGAAATTCTTGAGGCTATAAAAAGCAGAACATATGCAATATAACATGGGAATTTAACATATGCAATATAACATGCAATTTAACATATGCAATATAACATGGGAAAAAAAATACGACACATTAATAAAATATTAAAAAAAACTAACCTGATGAATTCCATTTGCCACCATGTTTAATTAAAATTGACACAATTTTCTCCATCAAATCAAATCTAAAATTTTTCAACATTCAATTTTAATTGTTTTTCCAAAAAAAAACGATAAAATATGACAGAATTCGAATATATGAATATAGTTCAAATTCTGGAAAAAAAAATGATACACGTTTATGGAAAGAAAGATAACAGAATACAATTTTTTAAGAATAAAAAACAAAAATAATTACCATTAAAAACGGATTGAGATAATTAAGGTGCATAGCTATAATTAATATATTTTAAAATCCCTTAAAAGGTGCACATTTTGTTATCAGTTAATAACAGTAACTACATTCAAGGAAATTATCTAATTTTAATTATTCATTTTTTAATTTTATTTTTCGTCCTATTTAAAATAAATATTTACAATATTTTAATTTAAAGAAATGCTATAAGTTGATATATTAAATGTTATAGAATGAAAATCAAACTCTTATGCCATAACTTGAAAATATGACTACATAATATGCTATATACCTAATTTACACGGAAAATAAATTATAAGTACATATTTTTTAGAATGAAGTATAAAAAGAAAAAAATCATTAATTTAGATATCAAAACAAAATATTAGTATTTATATTTGTAATAAAATTCAAATATGACATAATAAACTTAAGAAATTTATAAATCGATCTAACTTTATAATTATACATGAAATAATAGAGGAGTATTAAACTATTTAACCATACATACATCACTACCATATATATATATATTATATTTAGCTCTAGTTTAAAATAAGACATAATATATGAATATGCCTTTTAACTTTGCTTCGAATCACATTTACGTCTTCAACTTTGGGTATGAACAAGTAGACACTTAAACTTATATAAAGTTAAACAAATAGACACACATGTCCTACATATCATCCTACGTGTCATTTTTTATCCTACATGGTGTCCTACGTGTATTTTGCCATGTAGGACTGATGTGCCTGTTTGTGCATTATGAAAATTGGAGGTCAAAGTTAAAATTTGACACCAAATTTAGAATTCAATATATATATTATACCTTAAAATAATTACACATATTACCACTTTTAATATTTATATCATATATTTTAATTTTTTTTATAAGATACAGAAATTTCTTAAATATGATATTGAATAATTATCTTAAATTTAAATATGTTAATTAATGATCATAACAAGTTAAATTTTTTCAATTCCCATTTGGCATCTGCCGCCGGCCATTCCCCACCCCAATGTCCAATAGCACACTTTCTTTCTTCTTCTTCTCCCTCTTTGATTTACTCCTCATTCTTTCAATACATTTTTGCATATTCAAATCAGTATTTTATATATAGGATTGATAATTGTTTTACTATTCACATGTATCTTGGTTTGCTATCAAAGTTAAAATTCATAAAGTTTTTAAGTTCAATTTTTATTTTTTTTATATATTTAATTTTATATTTTTGATATTATTATTTCTCAAACGCTTTAACGACAGAATATTCTTAAAATCGAATGATTCTTGTTAAAGGTAGTATATATTAACAATATTATATTAAGTCAGGCAAATTTTATTTGTTTATTTCTACTCATGAATTTTTCATTGCAGGGATAGATTCTTCATCATCCATTAAAGTCGAGAATAGAGTTAAGTATAGAAACGACTCAATCAAGATGGAAGAGTTATGTCAAGTTTTATTAACAAAACAAATACACCATTAGATATGCAATAATGTTGGATACAAATCATGTTTATATGTATCTAGTTAAGAGTTCATATATCTAACTTAAGAGTATTTATGAAAAAAAATTCAGATTCTAAAAAGATAATAATTTTGAAGAAAATTACCTTTTTGGATTAATAAGTATAACAAATGGAGCGCCCCAACAAATACATTAAATAAATTTAGATACTTCTATTATACATATGTATCTTAGTATTTAGTTTGTTGGATACATCATATATATATATATATATATATATTATATATCTTTTATTAATAATATTAATGAAGTTATTATTTCAAAGAATAATAGAATGAAATTAATTAAACATACATTGATTTCTGCCTTATATTAAGGGAATTGATTAGTTTAAAATTTTAAATTAATTGTCCATTTATTTTGAAAGTTCTCAATTACTTCTCTAATTAAGGAAATCAGATACAACTAATTAATTTAAACAAATAAAATATGTATATCAGTTTTAAAATTCGACACGTACATGTATCTCGCGGATTTCAACTCGTGTAACCTGGATGAAATATAATAAAGAAAGTAATATTTGAAACTATCGGGAATCTTAGATATTAGGACCTAAACTAGTGGGATTTATGTAGTTTAAATGACAGAAATCACATATTTTTAAGGCAAAAATTAATAATTATCCTTTATAAATTTATAATTACAGAAATCTCTCAAACTGATACAATAATATAAGCGTTGATACATTAATCTAGTGCGTGAGATACATTAATAGTTAAGTAAGATACATTATATTTTATACATGATACACTAATCTAATGTACATTTTATACACGATACACTAATCTGATGTGTGAGATACATTAATTTGATGCGATGATACATTAATCTGATGCGTGAAAATAAGAAATTTTAAAAATTAATAAAACTAATAGGAGATAATAATAATAAGAAAATTTAAAAGTGAAATTTCTCTAAATTTTCCTAAATAAAATCAGTACTCCGCAGTCCAATGCTCAATCACCTGACACAGTTGGAATTTTTATTTATGACTGTGTTTCCTTGATTAAAATTATTTAAAAGTTTAATTAGGCGTAAAATATCAATTTCAAAAAGTTAATTTTTTTTTGTACGAAAATTATCAAAACTTTTTCAACTTTTACTCAAACTGGAATCTTAGTGGATGAATGCATTATGTTTATAATTAATTTATTAAAATATTTTAAGATGCCGTATTGATAAATCGCAAAGTTTAATAATTCAACAATATACCAGAATTTTGTTAGGGTAGTTAAAGATCAAACTAGTGGTTAAGTTAGTAATGCTAATCACACTATTATTAGACACAATGTATATAAGTAGGAATCTATCTTTGTATACTTAAAACTTTGAAATGAAGATTACAAAAGTCTCAATTGTATCTAACATCTCAACGTAGTTACCGTGGAAAATGTAACTTTTTTTTTTCCGAATTGGGATCAACTGCGATAATAACTTATTTAATATAATTTCATAAGTAATATTTCAAAAATGTGAGATAGAACGCAAATCGTATCTATACTTTTAACGTAATAAAAATGTGATTTTTGATTTATCTCAAATGAAGAAAATTTTTATTTATTTATTTATTTATTTATAAAAAAAGGTCGTCTCGTGACATGTAGTGTTATTGGAGAAAAAAAAGAAACCCCAAAATGTGAATACTATGACTTCATCAAATAGTTATATTATATTAATCTCACCCCTTCGTCTATTTAATTATCATGATTTTTTTTAGAGATAAATTATAAGAATTTTAATTAATATTTTATGATATACTTTTTATTATATTGATATTCAAAAAATTATAATTTATAATATTTTTATATAATTTTTAAATATTAAATTTTTTATTTAAAATATAAAATTAATCTAATTTAATTTAATTTTAAAAATTAAATAAAATTAACTTTCAGAAAAATACAAATGACGATTAAAAATAAAGAGAGAAAATATATAATATATGAAAGCAAGAGGATGTGATATGGAATCCTGGATTGTTCCACCATCTAAAAGATGATGGCCGTTACTTACAAAATAAATAAATTTTTTCTAACTTTGACAATTTTTATTTTGTTGAAAAAAGATAAATATTATTATGAGCTATCTTATAAATGGTATATTACAAGACATTAATGTTTCTATCGTTTAAAAATTAAAGTATATATATATTTTGTTGGGTTTTAAAAAAGTGTGAATAAAAAATAAAGAGTTGCGATTTTTATGAAGAGTTGTGACTTTAATGAAATGTTGCGATTTTTACGAAAAAGTTGTGACTTTTATGAAAAGTTGCGACTTTTATGAAAAGTTACGACTTTTATGAAAATTGGTGACTTCTACGAAAGGTGACAACCTTTCTGAAAGATTGTGACTTTTTCAAAGGTTTGTGACCTTTCCGATAAGGCACAATAAAAACCTTTTTGCACAACCCTTTGTTTTCTATAAATTGAGGGATTTCCTCTCATTTTAATATAGAATTCATAGACTTCTTCTTCAACTAATAAATATAGTATTCGAAGAGTACTTTACTGCCATTGAGTGATTCGTTGACACCGGAGTTTTTGGTATCTATACTCTGGTAATTGAAATCATTTTACCCTGGGAGGTCATATTCCAAATCAAACCTCAAATAACAGAGGGGAGTAATTTCCTTAAGGGACACTGTGAGTTCAGTGGACTTGATATTTTTCCTATTAAATTTTTTTCAGATTCTTAATGAATTTCAAATGTTTTAAACTTTAAATGATTTTCAATTATATAAAAATATTTTAATATATGTAGTATTTTAATAAATAGTAATTTCTACACTTTCCTAAAGATTATTTAAATTCTAGCCTATTCTGTTATAATTTCTTCCAATCATAGCCACTCCAATTCAAATTTTATTCCAATTTGTTAAAGACGGATCTTCCAGGTTTGCTTCCCTTCTGATTAAAACCTCATATTTAGTTTTAACTGATTTGCATGCTTGTACTCTTTGTAAGAATCATTTCATTGTCGTATTATTTCGTGATTCAGTTCTTATGATTTTTTTTTGATTATCCTCGTCTTGTTAAAATATCATACATATATTCATGCTATGATAGTCCGATCTCACACTTTAAAATCTTTGGATTGCTGATTCCTTGAAGTTGTTGTGGTGTTAGCTTTTAAAATAATGATAATATGAATGCTGATTTTTTTATTTCTTAAATTTGCATGCTAAGCTTTGTCAAAAGAGGCTCATGCTTTTGCTATTGCCTATTGTTTGATTGTGTATATATTTTCTCCCTCATATCTACGTGTTGTT